ATCAAATGAATATATCAATTCTTTTCTACATCAGCTTACATATTGATTTAGCTGTGACGATCATCTTAAAAATCTCGCCGTGTCTAATGCTGTTTACATGTTACATGATTGGCCGAATGAACCTTAAAGTTCATGTATACCGCTTACTGATTACTGTTAGCCCTCTTTTGGCTAACATTAGCATGAATTGATTTACGATTATAACTCAGCTGATCCAAATTGCCATTTCTTCACGAATCCCACTTCCCCATCATTGGTAAACGCAATGGTAAATGACTGCTGGTAAATGCGTTATGATCATAAGTTAGTGAATCCAGCCCCTGGGTGCCATTTGGCAAACTGGTACCATCCCCGCTGACCTCCTGGGGAGTATGGTCATCTCTCTTTGGAAGGGGATTGATGGGACTGCAGCAATCGCGAGGCATTGCACTGCTCAATATCCCAGGCAAGGTTTTTGCTTACATCCTCCTGAGATATGTCAGAGGCCATCTGCTGAGGCACCAAGGGCAATCTGGATTCACTCCTGGTAAGTCCACAATAGACTGTATCCTGGTGCTTTAGTCATTGTAGAGCGCCATTGTGAGTTTGGCTGCTTGCAGCTTAAATTGACCTCAAGAAGACATTCAGTATGGTGCATCAGGAATCATTCTGGGGAGGAATCCCAAAATGGATTATTGGATTAATTGCAAGTTCTGTAAAGTGTGGTGGGTGCTTGTCGAGCTTCTTTCCTGTTAGTTCAGGAGTGAGGCAGGACTAGTTCATGCAACAATGCTTTTTAACATTTGCATGGACTAAACACTGGGCAGAGCTACTGTCTAAAATGAATGTTGAGTAAAGCTGGACAATATCAGGATTACCGACTCTAGATGCGTTTAGCAATGAAGCGAAGCCCCTGAGTCTAGAGGTCTCCTGGACAGAGACCAAGATCCAGGACTTTCAGGGCCTGCTAGTAGAACCTGTTCGGTTGGTACATACTGTGAAGACACTGAAGTTACAGAGAACTTTACTTATCTTAGTAGTTAAGTTCATGATTATGGGCTGTCAGACCAGGAAGTCATTCGATGATGGATTGGCAACAGTATTTGTAGATGCTGTTACGTGTCATAAAGGCCCATACTGCCAGTTTTACTATACTGAAGTGAAACCTAGACGCTATCCTGTGCCTTGGAATTTCACCTTAATGACATTTGAAATAGCTCCTTGCGCCGGATCATGGGGCCTAGTTAGCGGAACCATATGTCCAGTTAGTCTCACAGTTACACTGTGAGATTGATACAGGACCTATTACTTGCATTACCGTGATCGCCTATTCAAGCTATATGGCCAACTGGCTCATTTCCCATCGAATGATTCTGCTTACTGGCTCATTTCCCAGCGAATGATTCAGCTCACTGGCTCATTTCCCATCGAATGATTCTGCGTACCAGGTTGTCTCTGAGACAACCGTGGGTGGAGGAATCCTGAGGGACCATCTAAGAATTCGTTTAACTGATTATCAAAATAAAGGGTTCTTGAGGTTCTTTGTTATTCCTTTTTAGTATCTATGAATATACAATAGTATCCATGACTGATTTTTGAAGAACCTACAGCGAAGGATGATTATACAAATATATTCTACTGTCAGCACATAATCGCCAAAGTTCTTACCTTGCGATGGCGCACTGCAGGAAGTTCAGATTCAATTGTGGCTGTATCGGGTTCCGTTGTGGTTGTATCAGGTTCAGTTGTAGTTGTATCTGGTTCCGTGATGGTTGTATCGGGTTCAGTTGTGGTTGTATCTGGTTCTGTGACGGTTGTATCGGGTTCAGTTGTGGTTGTATCTGGTTCTGTGACGGTTGTATCGGGTTCAGTTGTGGTTGTATCAGGTTCTGTGACGGTTGTATCAGGTTCAGTTGTGGTTGTATCTGGTTCTGTGACGGTTGTATCAGGTTCAGTTGTGGTTGTATCAGGTTCTGTGACGGTTGTATCAGGTTCAGTTGTGGTTGTATCTGGTTCTGTGACGGTTGTATCAGGTTCAGTTGTGGTTGTATCAGGTTCTGTGACGGTTGTATCGGGCTCAGTTGTGGTTGTATCAGGTTCTGTGACGGTTGTATCAGGCTCAGTTGTGGTTGCATCTGTTGTAGTGGTTTCACCTGTAATGGACGAAAATAGCTCATTATAGCATAGTCACACAAAAGGATTGAATCGGCCTCTATATGTGACTTTGTGTTTGTCTCTCCATACGCTGCGTACGCTGAACGAAATGTAGGATTTGGCATTGACGTCCCTGCTACCTGCCTGGCCACAAAAATCCGATATGACACACAGCTGTTCCGTCCTTTCTGCTGATAAGTAGGCGTGAGGGGAAGGACGCTATCTGCCGTTCTAAAAAATGCATTCTTAAAGACAAACAAACAAAAAGAACGATAGATTAAAGACTATACCACACTCAAACGGTCAGTTTTATTATCTGTTTATCTATTAATATAAACACACACACACACACACACACACACACACACACACACACACACACACACACACACACACACACACACACACACACACACACACACACATACATATATATATATATATATATATATATATATATATATATATATATATATATATATATATATATATATATATATATTATATTACATACATATATATATATTAACTTAGTTCAAGGATTTCGACATAAACTGTCCTTTCATTTAAAACAATTAAACGGGTTTTCATTTTGCTCTAGGAAATGAACAATGTACAGAAAGAAATCCTTTCATATTCTTTAGATTTTTCTTTCTTTTCGTGTGAAATTAGATGGTTAATCGACATGGAATGTTGTCTAATGTCATATCAATATTATGTCTATAGTATACAGACCGAAGCCGTAGCAATGAACTGAAACGTCTGGAAGATCGAAAGCTAGTTGGTTTAATAAAGCATTCTTCCAACGAAATCGAAACAAGAAATTTACTGAGCCTAAATTTGTCTGGACTTTTGTCTGGAATTATCCATGTTGCCAAAATTGTTAAAAGAAAATTACGCCAACTTGAAAATATGCGTGGTCAGTACACTGTTTTGCCAGTCAGTGAGCATGCGCAGTTTTATGTAAAACTGCTCTGAATATATACGTAAGCATACATACATACATACAGATAAGATCCTATATCTATCCATGTCTATTTATCTTTTAATCTACCTAACTATCTATCTTCCCATCTATGTCTATCTATGATTATATTCATTACACACACACACACACACACACACACATATATACATATATATTCTTACCATTTAAAGCTGAATATAATGTTTCGAGCTGATCTCTTAGGGAATCTATTTCGCTGGAAATATTCATGATGAGGGGCGTGATGGTCTCATTCGTAGACGCTATGCTTGCTTGCAGACCTACTGTGTTGTTAAAGCTGATATTACCGTCTGTCAGTAATGTAGAAATATCTTTAATGACGTTGACAAAACACCTTATTGTGTCGTTGTCCACGTATGCAATTTCCGCGTCGATCAGGACCAAGATGTCCTCCAGCACTTCGTCAGGGGAGCCGTTCCAGGAGCTACTGGCGTCAGTACAGACGGGGGTGATCGTGATGCTGCCGTCGCTGGCGCTGACATCAGGGTGTGTAAGTGACCGCTTCCAACGCCCACCACCAAGTAAGCCGTGAAGAATACTTAGTACGAGTTGCAGCTGTTGGTACTGTGGCAGTCGCCTTTCCAGCTGACTGAGTCTTGCTTCGAGGGCGGCTATTCGGGCTTGGATCGAGGCACTTGTTGTATCAGGCTCAGTTGTGGTTGTATCTGGTTCTGTGACGGTTGTATCGGTTGTGGGTTGTATGGTTGTTGTGGGTTGTATCGGGTTCAGTTGTGGTTGTATCTGGTTCTGTGTGGTCGGTTTGTGTTGTATCGGTTGTTGTGGTTGTATCTGGTTCTGTGGGTATCAGTTGTTGTGTTGGTTCAGTTGTGGTTGTATCGGTTGTATCAGGTTGTGGTTGTATCACGGTTCAGTTGTGGGTTGTATCTGGTTCAGGTTCGTTGTGTTGTATCAGGTTCAGTTGTGGTTGTATCAGGTTGTTCAGGTTCTTGTGGTTGTATCAGGTTGTGTTCAGGTTCAGTGGTTGGGTTCAGTGCAGGTTCAGGTTTGTGGTTGTATCAGGTTCAGTTGTGGTTGTATCAGGTTGTTGTGGTTGTATCAGGTTCAGTTGTGGTTGATCAGGTTCAGGGTTGTAATCAGGTTCGTTGTGGTGGTTTGTATCAGGTTCAGGTTCAGTTGTGTTGTATCAGGTTCAGTCAGGCTCTGTATGGTTGTCTCTGGAAAGAAAATAATATATTTTTTTTCACTGATAATTTCAAGAATATAGTAAACAAATATGATATTAATATAAGGATATTAGTAACAATAATGACTATCGTAATCAGCGTCAATAATGACACTAATTTACAAATGATAACCAAACCGGTAACCGTTGTAGTTGTCTTTGGTTATGTTGTGGTTGTTTCTGGCTTATTTGTGGTTGTACCTGCTTTTGTAGTGGTATCAGGTTCAGTTGTGGTTGTTTCCGGTTCCGTTGTGGTTGTATCTGGTTCCGTTGTGGTTGTATCTGGTTCCGTTGTGGTTGTATCTGGTTCCGTTGTGGTTTATTCTGGTTCCGTTGTGGTTGTATCTGATCTGGTTCCGTTGTGGTTATCTGGTTCCGTTGTGGTTGTATCTGGTTGGTTCTGGTTCCGTTGTGGTTGTATCTGGTTCCGTTGTGGTTGTATCTGGTTCCGTTTGTGTTGTATCTGGTTCCGTTGTGGTTGTATCTGGTTCCGTTGTGGTTGTATTATCTGGTTCCGTTTGTGGTTGTATCTGGTTCGTTGTGGTTGTATCTGGTTCCGTTGTGGTTGTATCTGGTTCCGTTGTGGTTGTATCTGGTTCCGTTGTGGTTGTATCTGGTTCCGTTGTGGTTGTATCTGGTTCCGTTGTGGTTGTATCTGGTTGGTTGTGTTGTGGTTGT